CAACTGGGATCCACAACAAGACTTTTGTCAGGGAGTGTATATATACACATGACTGCTCGATAGGGTTCTGCCCTATATGATTCAGCACTCCAAGGCTCTTAATAAAGTTCCACATTATGATGTTTCAGCAGGTTTACCATCTAACAGGAACGGAAGGATAATGATGCTTTTAAACATCCAGTCAGTTTGAAGCCCACGATCAGAAACGCACAAACGGATTAGGGCTGAAGTTCACTAAACTCTCTCCATCAAGGCCATTAGGTTTAGAAATCAAGTACGAACTGTATACAGTTTCACAACATATTGAGCTTATGGACAAATCCTGAACACAAGAGATCTCATATGCGCTAAATGACGGCATATAGAAGAAGAAATGCTCCTCTAATCCATTCAGAAATGACCAGATGTTGTGATATTGCACCATCAACAGCAGGATTAGCAGAAATGCGGGACGTGGCGCTCGCAAATGGAACAAATATGGCCTCCCTCGTTTTCTCCAATTTGGATTAAGAGGCAGGTCAGTAGATAAAACAGTCATGACGTTTTGTAAGCTGAATATCCCTTTAAATCTGTCTAAAGGTTCAGTGGGGAATTGTTTGGGTGCCTTCAGGGAATAATAACAGCAGAGACTCATTGTGAATACATACATTTTTGTGACAATGTAAAATACGTTGCTCTGGGTACGTTTGGTTCTGTTTCAGATGAAAAATCCACTAGAGGGTGCTGTATACATTCCTGACAATGTAAACATGTCATTTAGACAAGTGTTTCTCAACCACGTTCCTGGAGGACCACCGACACTGTTTTGCATGTCTCCTTTGTCTGTTGCACCCTTTACAGGTCTTTCAGTCTCTGCTAATGAGCTGATGATCTGAATCAGGAGTGTTTGGTTGAGGAGGTATGAAAAAATGTGCAGAGCTGGTGATCCTCCAGGAACATGGTTGAAAAACACTGATTTAGACTATGATTTGATGTACGTTTGAGATGAAAAAGCCACTAGAGGGCACTGTCTACATTCATGTCGATCTAAATACGTTATTTAGAGCATGGTTTGTTATACGTTTCACATGACATCCACTAGAGGGCGCTGTCTGCATTTTAAAAATCTGAAATACGTTAGTCAGGGTGTGATTTTATTTACGTTTCAGATGAAAAATACATTAGACGGCACTGTTTGCATCCATGTGAAGCTAAATACGTTATTTAGCGCATGTTTTGTTGTACGTTTCAGATGACACATCCACTAGAGGGCGCTGTCTGTATTTTGAAAATCTAAAATACCTTACTCAGGGTGTGATTTGGTTTATCATTTCAGATAACAAATCCACTAGAGGGCACTGTCTACATTCATGTCGATCTAAATACGTTATTTAGAGCATGGTTTGTTATACGTTTCACATGACATCCACTAGAGGGCGCTGTCTGCATTTTAAAAATCTGAAATACGTTAGTCAGGGTGTGATTTTATTTACGTTTCAGATGAAAAATACATTAGTTGGCACTGTTTGCATCCATGTGAAGCTAAATACGTTATTTAGCGCATGTTTTGTTGTATGTTTCAGATGACACATACACTAAAGGGCGCTGTCTGTATTTTGAAAATCTAAAATACGTAACTCAGGGTGTGATTTGGTTTATCATTTCAGATAACATATCCACTAGAGGGCACTGTCTACATTCATGTCAATCTAAATACGTCATTTAGAGCATGGTTTGTTGTATGTTTCACATAAGACATCCACTAGAGGGCGCTGTCTGCATTTTAAAAAATCTGAAATGCGTTAGGGTGTGATTTTATTTAGGTTTCAGATGAAAAATACATTAGACGGCACTGTTTGCATCCATGTGAAGCTAAATACGTTATTTAGAGCATGTTTTGTTGTACGTTTCAGATGAGACATCCACTAGAGGGCGCTGTCTGCATTTTAAAAAATCTGAAATGCGTTAGGGTGTGATTTTATTTAGGTTTCAGATGAAAAATACATTAGACGGCACTGTTTGCATCCATGTGAAGCTAAATACGTTATTTAGCGCATGTTTTGTTGTACGTTTCAGATAACACATCCACTAGAGGGCGCTCTCTGTATTTTGAAAATCTAAAATACGTTACTCAGGGTGTGATTTGGTTTATCATTTCAGATAACAAATCCACTAGAGGGCACTGTCTACATTCATGTCGATCTAAATACGTTATTTAGAGCATGGTTTGTTGTACGTTTCACATGAGACATCCACTAGAGGGCGCTGTCTGCATTTTAAAAATCTGAAATACGTTAGTCAGGGTGTGATTTTATTTACGTTTCAGATGAAAAATACATTAGACGGCACTGTTTGCATCCATGTGAAGCTAAATACGTTATTTAGCGCATGTTTTGTTGTACGTTTCAGATGACACATCCACTAGAGGGCGCTGTCTGTATTTTGAAAATCTAAAATACGTTACTCAGGGTGTGATTTGGTTTATCATTTCAGATAACAAATCCACTAGAGGGCACTGTCT